AGCAGCGGCCAACGTCATGGAGGGGAGGGTCATAGATAGGTTCGGCGGGTTCGCCCTCGCTTGCTTAAACCTAATATCTGATGAGTGTCTGCACCGAAAGCAAACACGAGAAACATCGAGTCGAAGCCTTTTTCAAAACGCAATGAGGACCTACCAACGACCGCCCCGAGAAGTCATCTATCAAGGTAACCTCAAGGCAAAATATTTTTCTTTCACTTCTGCATGCACCACAATGTGGGCCCCATCAGATCCTGAACATCCGCAATGAACCGCTTCCCCCCACTATTTGATGCAATCCTAGTGAAAATATATCTTCTTCTTCTTCTTCTTCTTCTTCTTCTTCTTCGCATTTCAAGTTTATTGCATATCGCATATTAGCTTATAGCTTGCTCTCAACTTAGTGTTCTAGATGCACTTCATCAGTTATTAATTGAGAGCTTTCGATGCCTGTACCATTTTTGCATTGGTATAATTGTGTGGCAAGTCCAATCATACTTCTATGCCCAGGGAAGTCGAGAAATTTTCCAACCCGAAACATTCTTAGACCGGACCGGGAATTGAACCCAGCCACCTCCAGCATGGTCTTGCTTTGTAGCTGCGCCTTTACCGACTGAGCTAAGGGAGGCCCTAAAAATATATTATTAAGTTTAATTCCTGTGACACAAGGCACGTTTATTTCTGAGAGACTGTCTTGGTGTCCTGTGTGAGTTTTGTTTGTTCGTTGTTGAGTTGACAGGCCTCCCCAAGTAAGAGCTAGCCAAGTCCCTGGCAAGATGACAGATAACCTTAGTTTCACGTACCCACTTGCAAATAGTAGATGTCGCTACATAACGTAAACAAAGGAATTGTCCTTCACCGCCGCAACGGCGTTTCGCTATGAGAAACAAAAATTTTGTTTCACCATGAGTGGATGTCAAACCACAGGCAAGAATGCCATATGAAAAGAGCGAATTTATGATTTTCGTGGTGAAATTAAATAAATCCATACATATTGAACCGATTGATTGAGTTTCATCTTATATCATCGAATGGAAATTAAAATACTTTGGTTTCTTCAGTTTTATTTTGCTCTTGATCAGCCTTTAGATTATTGCTTTGAACATAGTTGTGCGATGAAGTAAAGTACACGGTTTGAGAGGCTGAAATTGGCATTCGACAGCATACAAAGTACACCGCTAAACTAACGTTGTACTTTTTTAAGCTAGAAAGAGCATTATAAGCAGCTTCTGGCGGAACTTGAACTTTTAGAAAATAAATTAAGAAAGGTTTTTGTTCCCTACTACATTAAAGTTAGTTCGCACTTTTATGAAAGTTAATTCTAAAGTCTGGTCTTTATGAAAGTTTTTTTTTCTAAAGGTATGAAGTGTATGGATTTATCAGCATTAGTAGTAAAATTGGAGCTGTTTTGAAGAATAAAACCCAGTCCTTCTGCGTGAGAGCCCCAGCATGAACTGCTTCGTCATCTGAGATATATTAAAGTGAGCTGTTGTCCCGCCTTGTTGGAGTTTTCAGTGCCAGCTGACTGACTTGAATACGAAACACAACACCTTGATAAATTGGTGTTTGCCCGCAGGGTATTTCAACACACTTGTGGCGCACGTGTTAGCGTTCGTAGATCGCATGCCAAACACACGGGTTGGAATCTAGGAAATTGATCTTTATTTTGTTTGGATGGAATCTTGATGCACTGCATAAATATAAGAATTATGATTCATTTGACCCACTGATCATTTCATATTTACGTACATTAATGTATGTTCCTGAAAAATATATGTGTGGATTGCTTCGTGTGGGCTTTGACGGACCTTTTAAGAAACTTTCAAGTTGCTAAGAAGTTCCGCAGGGATCTTTTAAGATACTTAAAAGTTGCTAAGAAGTTCCGCTGGGAACTTGATCGGAACTTTGTTGTGGCCTTGTTTCAGCTTTACCTGAAGTTCCTAAAAAGTGCTTAGGGATGTTTTATGGAACTTTTTTTGAACTTCAAGAGCCTGAAGTTCCTATAGCTGCTAAAGTAGCAAGAAAGTTGTGTTGGAACTTTATATGCACTTTATGGAACATTAAAGCGGGTTTTGTCGTTGAATGTGGATCTTTTGGTTGCTTGGAGTACTATCGAAACTTTATTTGAAATTCATGGAACATGAAAGTTCTGTCGGAACTTTAATTGAACTTTATGGAACTTGAAAGTTCTGTCAGAGCTTTACCCGAACTTTATTAAACTTGAAAATGAGTTTTATCGTTGAATGCGGAACTTTTGATTACTTGGGTAGTCGAAATCACCGAAAGTATTCTCGCTCAATTCTCATTTGTTCCGATTAATTCGATGTTAACCACATATTTTCGATTTACAGATCATATGTTTAAGCTTTTGGTTCTGTTCTGCTGAAAGACATACGAGACTACATAAAAAATATAAACTGATTATGAATTGTGCATACGACTGAAAATCAAAATGACTGCGCATGCGACTGAAAATCACTAGACTTCCTATGTCGCTAATGTTAATTTTGACGTTGGACTTCACGTGTACCACACGCGCGTTCCGGTTTGGTGGGCGCGCGGCAATAACATAAATTTTAAACTTTCATTTAATTTATTATACAGGGTGTTTGGTTCCGGGTTTCATGAACAAAAAACCAAAGACCACTATGCATTGCGCTCATTTCTGTTATCAAACAGATATGAATAAATAGTGTATTACTGAATTATAAGTGGGGATGGGTGGCATTCACCAGCCCGAGAATACCCTCCACATGCTAGCCTCTTCATCAACCATACATTAGTAGGGGAGAACAGTACATATCGCACCCCCGGGGTAAAACGCACTTTTTCATTTTATTTTGAGTTTTTCTTGGAATTTTAAATCCAATTCTAGGATTTATCATGCAGGATTTTGAGTTCAGATACTATGCTAGAAGTGCTGCTTGATAAGACAACAAAAAAGTTACTTAAAAGCCATGAAAAACACAAATGAAAGTCAGCTGGTGCGTTCTGCCCAGGGGGTGCGTTCTATACCATTCTCCCCTACACACTTATCGAGTCAGTAATTTTTACCAAGTTTTTGAATTGCCATTTCTACCACTGGCACTGCAACAGCCGACCGGACGAACGAATAGGGTGACTATAGCGCATTTTATGAAAACGTCACAAGTTTTTATCGCTGTTTTAAATCAATAATTACGAAGAAACCATAAAGCCTACAAGGTTACTACCAAATACACAAATCTAGGGAACTGCATGGAAAATGTTTTGTAGAACAACTAAATAAACAGAAATGAAAATTTTCAACTCAAAAACACTAAAATGTATGAAATTTTACCAGTTTTTTTTGGTACTTTCAACATACTTTTCAATTTTTATGTATGATAATTAAATTTAATCGAGTTCTTTTCTAAAGAACATTGATAGCTAAGGCTTTAATCTTTCATTTGGTATGTTGAAATCAGAAAACCACATTAAGATTAAAAAAATATAGCTAACCAAAGTTGGCAATACAAAAAAACATAATATTTTGAATAACTCACTTAGCAGTCATTTCCGACCCTATGTTTCATGGGGATTTTTTCATAACTTTAGGAGCCCTATCTACCCTGAAAATATGTAAAACCCGGAACCAAACACCCTGTATATCATTTCCGCACTCGCCCTATTCAGATAACTCTTCTGAAAACTTGTGAGTTTGACAGAACCACCAGAACCAAATTATTGGGGTACACTTGAAATATACTGGAGTTGTCAAGTTGCCCCCGGGTTGGAGCTAGCCGACCCAGGGTGGATATTAGACTGATGCAAAATTTGAAATTTTCGCTCCACAGTGTTCAAACGGTTTCAAATCGGGTCCTGATTAGCCTCCGAAAGTTTAAACTCATTTGATAAGAAACTGACTTGGCACAAACCATTTGAAGTTTATATGGAAATTACTATGGGAAAACAAAACTTTTTGTTCATTGTCTTCTAGCCTCTTATGGGAATTTTTATCAGCTACAACTTTGCAGAAAATTATTTTTCAGCCAAACGTTAAATTAAATAGTTATTAATTGTTTAAGAGATTGATAATCTTATGGCAAGATTAAGCAACTGTATTTTGGGCAACATTGTATTCTGCAGTGTGACATAGTTGCCATGATTTTTGTCCTCTATTCTACGCGCCATAAACACCAATGTTGCCTGCTGAACAGTTGATTGAGCATAATCATAAGACATCAGTGACTTGAATCATTAATAATTTATGTTCCTTAAATTTGATCGAAAATTGGTCTTGAACAAAGTTGTAGCTGAGAAAATTTTCAACAAGCTCAGCTATCATTTTCTAAAGTAGAGTGAACTGGTGAATTTTGAGATAGATATGAACCGAAGTTATGGTTTCTCCATAGTAATTCCTATATAAACTTCAAAAGGTTTGTGCCAAGCCAATTTCTCACTAAATGAGTTCAAATTATGGGGGGCTAATCCGGGCCCAATTTGGAACCGTTTGAGCACTGTGGAGCGAAAATTTCAAATTTTGCATCAGTCTAGTGGATATAGTCCTGAGTTAGTAGCGTGTTTCAATATGTAGAAAGCTGGACACTGGCAGGCATTGACGTAACTTAAAAAAATCTGTAGGTGCTTGGGGGCACAAAAATAAAGTTAGGTTAAACAAGCTGAAATGCTAAGAAACGTAAAATTCCCCCATTGGTTGCGCCAAAGACAGGTTATTGCCATGAATTACAATGTTTTGTGTGACAAAAAAAACAAACGTTACTGTTTCGTTCGAATCGCGTTACCTTATATTATTTAAAACGAGTCACTGAGGGCAGATAAACATGCCTGATTCAATTCTGTCCAATCAGTGAGAAAGAATCCTGCATAAACTCCGATGGGTACCAGCCGCAGTGTATTCTCCTTGATTATTTATTTCTAAGCATCCCTGGAATTTCCGCGCCTTCAACCTCGGCGTTATTGTTTGGTTGTTTGTTCTGATAAGCTTTCTCACACTTCCTTTCTTTCTTTCATTGGCTTTTCAGGATTGCAGATATCGGGCGCAATAACGCTGGCAATGGAGGAGGTAAACGATATTTACTTTAGTCGGCATGGTCACAAGCTGGAATTTGACGTGGCTGAGACGTATGGTGAAGAGGTAACTAGTATAAGGAAAACTGCAGATCTCTGGACAAAAGATGTGATAGGCTACATAGGGCCACAGGAAACGTGTGTTCACGAGGGCAGAATGGCGGCTGCCTTCAACTTACCAATGATTTCTTATGTAAGTAAGTATTATGTAATTTCTGTTTTGTTTCAACTATTTTCTCTGCTAATAAACTTGTCGCAGCTAGCCTGAGTCTTGTTCGTAATGATTGTCAACTATTACAGTTTTGTACGCACAACGAAACATCAAATAAAAAGCATTTTCCCACGTTTGCTAGAACGAGGCCACCTGATCTACAGATATCGAAATCAGTTGTATCGCTTCTGATTGCTTACAACTGGACTCAGGTGAGGATACAAATTGGTTCCCCTGCTTCTGTTCCATCAACACCCCTATGAATGGAAGTAACGAAGGAAGCTTCGCGTGACCGGGTTGTAATTTAATTATTCTCTGTTTCTCATCCATCAGGTAACTTTCTTCTACCGTTCATCAGATAACGCCGAGTACGATGCGGTGGCGGAAACACTCAAAACAACCCTCAAGACCAATGGCATCCGAATCAGGTCGACACGCACCTGGAGTACCATCTATCATCATGGCTATTCACCCAATCCTTTCGACCGGCTTGTCGAAGAAACATTCATTGACACTAGAAGTGAGTTAAGGACTAAACATTAAACGACGCAACGGACCGGCCTAAGGATTAAGGAGTTTTAATTAGTTTCGGAAAACTCATATAAAATTGGACAGGACTAACGGCTCTTGATCCAATAATATGTAGAATCATTTCATTTCAAGCCAGACTAATGGGCGACTGGACGTTGACATGCGTAGGGCTGTATTTGTTTCTCTAATTTATTTTACTATTGATAATGAATCAGCTAAATATACTGGTTTGTGTTTGAAGTCCTCTGGCGGATACAACCCGAAGACGTCTGTGCATTCCGATTGAGCGAAAACCACTTGAAGCTGACGTATTTTGATGGATTGCTTCGAACGTTGCCACCCGGGGTGTTACAGTTTGTAAATAGCGCGTGTTTAACGGTTCTGTTAATTTTCGCCAAGCCGGTCCGTTCCGTCGTCATTAATCATGTCATTGACAACGCTGCCGTTTCATTTCGCGCTCTTTCCCGGGGCTGAAATTGTTTTTCCGCTTGCAGTTTATGTGGTGCTAGGTCATCACGACGAGCACATTGGTCTGTTGGTGAGCCTAAAGCGCAAAGGGTTATTGACCGCCGGCGAATACTTTGTCGTCGGAGTTGACCTTGAACAATATGATGCTGCATTGCCAAAGAAGTACTTGCACGGATTACTACAGACTGAACCGGACCAGGATGCTGTGCCGGCCTTCCAACACTACCTCGGAGTCGTACCGTCGGCTCCTGTCAAGTTTGAAGAATTTGCTGTTAAGGTAAGATTCGCACCATGTTTACGTATGTGAATTGGTGGGACTTGCATTCGGTGCATTTGCTTAACCTGAATTTTAACGCCTGTCCAAACCAGAATGCATGCGAATTTCAAACATGCCTGTGCATTCAATACAAATAAGCAATAATGGTGTATATTTCATTCTGCAGTAGAATAAACATGTCTGTCGAGAGATTTGATGAAAAGTACCATGCATGAATTTTCTTCGTTGAAGAGGATTGACCCGAGAGCCGAAAGAATTAAACAAAGTGGGATAAAATGATGGAAAACCGATCCGAACTTTAAATAAAACTTTCCAAACTGTTCACAAAAACATCAAAGTTTTCGGAATTTTTCACAGATTACCAACGTGCTTTTGAATAATTCTGGAAGATTTACAGTAAACTTTCCCTGACTTGATATCTCTAACTCGATAGAAATCCAGACTACTTCGATCATACAAATTCGAAAATTTACCTCCGTGAATCGATATCCTGGGTGGGACAACTTGGCGGAATATATTGTTCTTGCAGGAATTAATTTCCGTTTTAAGCCTGGTACGCATCTAAAAAGAAAACGAAAAGTAATTTTTGAGGATTATTTCCAAAATAAAATTTGACAGCTATATGGAGGTTACATGAGTTTTGCAACAAACGTCAAAATTGCCTAACGTTAATCGCAGTGAAAAGTGAAATTTCATTCTGAATGCTCCACCTTCGTGTCGTTCACGATACTAATGTAATCGATCTTTCCTTTACCAATTTCGTTTGAACTCTGTACTGAGTCAAAAAAATGCTAAAGAAAAGTAATTTCTTTAACATTCCGTGTCCTATCCCTAGCACGTAAAAACGTCTTTACTTTTCAGCTGCCTACATGGCTTTATGGAGTAATTCCAAGAAGAAGAAGAAGAAGTTCCACCTCATTTGTCAAACAAACAAGGCTTAAATGAATCGCCAGCGAAAGCACTTCAAGATTGTCAATGTACACTATGTTTTTTCGGCATTCAGCTTATTTGCATACTGGTGGTAGAACTTTGACAGCTGAGGTAGAATTCTACGGTAGCCACCGGACGGACATTTTTAATAATATCCGTAATTGTATTTATTTTCTTTTTCTTAGAAAAGCCGCTAAAACAAACACATCTGTAGAACAAACATTTTTCAGTATAAAATCGTTTACATAAAATAGTTTTGGGGAAATTCTTTTAATTTTTTTCGTTGTAATTTTGAGATATTTGATGATTTTTTGCAAATAAATTTAAGTTGACTTGCCCCTTGTATTCCCCCTAACGTGAAGGTTCGTTAAAAGCGACTTAGAACTGAGTTCTTTCTTAACTAAATTCACAACGGATATGATTGATGAAATCGTCCTTGGCACTAACCTTTCCAAGGCAGACAAATACAACAGAACTAGAAATGCAAAAGAAGCATGACGTGAAGAACTTATGGCATTGCTGTTAATTCTTTTTCATGATGTAAATGTCAGGGAGTTGTGGGCATTGGATTGATCGGGCATGCAGATACTACGGGCAGTAATGGGCTACAACCTATTTCTCTTCCTCTTGTCAAACATTAGGTTTGATGATAAAAGCTCTCGTGCGAATCGGAGAAAACAAGACAAATTGGCGGCAATCAGATAAATTTTTGACTAATTTGTTGGGAATATCAAAAGTACTTATTCCTGCCCCGAAGAAGTTACTATTGACGAAATGCTACATCCTTTTCGGGGAACCTTTTTTCTTTCCTTGATTTGTTTTCCGTGCTGAGCACCAATGCTACCGACGCCAGGGAGGAAGTTCCCACACCTGGACCCTATCTATCGACCCATCAACTCATGAACCGGGGACCAACGGCTTTACTTCCGGCGTGATCAGATATGTTATGCCTCAGAACATCCCGGCGGCGTTGACTGGGGTGAGAGGTAATCATGCTTACCACTACACCACCGGTGTCGCTATTTTCGGGGAAGCTGTTCTTGTATACTATATATTCCAAGTAAGCCTGCCAAATACGGGATGAAGTTTATTGCTATGTGTGGCATACGAAACATCCAACTCTCCAAGAGATATCGTTGAAAGGCATGGTGATGACGATATGATGATGATTATATGGAACTACCACTCACTGTAGCAAGACAGCTTTCGGTAGACTGTGGACTCTCCTCGCTGTTCGACTTGATCAATAACCTCTAATTGTACTCAACCTTCCATTGGGCCAAAAACGGTTTTTGTGAATCCGTGAGCAAATCGCCCACGTGCTTCCACGGGATAAATGAGAATCTCCTTCCTACAACAGGATCATACAACCGGTATACAAACCGAGGGGGGCGACTCTATCTAAGATGCAGGAGATTTTTTGCTTTGCTGTTGTGAGATGCACTCGCGCTTAATAGATAGAAACACGATTGATTATGATTTTGAAGATTTCCTGCAAAAAGGTCGAGAGTGATGCAAGTCGATGGGTTTAGATGCAAAAGATGAAAAAAGATTTTTCGTAGGTCGATTCGCTAGTGTGAGATTTTTCGACCATTTAAAATCGAGATTTAGATGTGTCACACCCCTCGATACAAACAGGCTATCCAACAGGATTATGCCCCAATGAGTGGGTGTCTTCCAGCGGCTGTCTTGGTGGACCCTTCCGTACCCTGAATTTAACGTTTCATATAATAATGGAATGAAAGTTAAGAGAAAAATAAATGAAGGATCTCACCCGATATTTTGCAAAGGAATCCATGACATCACGATGATTTCGAAAATTTCCCATATATATGATGCCGCTATTTCTTCAACCAGTGTTAAAAACAGCTCTCTTGCTGTTCCTTCGTCACATAGTCCTAAACAATTACTAAACACACTCTAGCTGCTCTGCCTAGAGGGATCTCAGTAGAGAATAAAGGACAGCGACCATTTTCCAACTCAAATTACTCTCGACACAACGACTTCAGTTCACCAGTACACAGTCTGGAAGACGCAGTAACCAACGCTGAAATCAGAACCGGCAACTCCTGCGACCGAAAACAAACGCGTCTAAAAGTGGTCACGGCACGATTCGATTGCATTTCTGGAACACAATCTCAACGCACAAACACGACGACGAACAACATTTGACAAGCACCTTTCGTCCGGGAGGCGGAACGCCAGCGCGCAGCAAGTAAAGGGAAGAAAAAAAAAGACACTCACAGCACGGCACCAGCTGAACTACTGACATTCAAAGCAAAACGTGAACTGAGATATCGTTGATAGGCATGGTAAGCCTAGAATTGAGTTATTTAAAAAATTGTACCTAATATAAAAACCTAAAGAAGCTTCATAGATCATTGTGCGGCATTCTGTTGGTAAAACAAGTTTGAGGCAAATGAATTTAATGTAAATAATTGTCAATGCCTAGTCACTCATCTGATCAAGTCTTAAAACTGTTTATTTAAATCATTTGCCATTGAAAACAAATCAGGTAGAAAGGAATTTTAAAATGTGGAGAAAATTTGAGCCCAAAATATTAAGAAGAATCCCGCCCTGGATGAAAAGAGTCCAGTTTTTTGATAATTTGAATACCTTCCTGTAATCAGTCTGTTTACTATAGTTACGGTAATAAAAATAAAATTTCAGTATACCTATATAAACATATATTAGCATACCTTCAAAATGCCGTGCCAAGATCAAAAATAGCTGGCTTGGTTGTGAAGTAATCTCTCCTTATAGATACATTTTTTAAACATGTCGAAAATCCAGGGTTGTAGACGGATCTAGAGTGCACTTAAGAGCAAAACCAAAAAAGTCGTTTGTTTAGAATGCCAAAATAAGCGTTTTGGCAAAGTTTGGTTCTAATCGGTGACATCGATCACAGGTGATGCATTCGGTTATGCTGGCATGACTCACATGTATACTTGCACTGCGTGGTGAAAAAATTCTGAACTACTGTCCACAAGCCAAAAAGTCTAAACCCCCTGAACAAGTTTGTCGAAGACAGTAACTTTCTACCTGGTCAAGATCCCGAGCTATTCAATATGCGATGATTGCACGTGTATACTAATGCCGCGTATTAATAAAATTCTAAACTATTGTCCACCAACAAAAAGATCTTTTTCCTGAACAATTTTGCTTAAAACATTTGCTTTCTATCTGATCAGGATCTAGAGATATTTTATATGCTAGAATTGCATATGTATACTAGCGCTACGCAGTGAGAAGATTCTGAACAAATGTCCCCCAGGTTATGGTCTCCTGAAAAACTTCGCAGAAGACAGTAACTTTCTATCAGGTCAGGATCTCGAGAAATTCCATGTTCTAACTAAGTAAGTCGAATCCCACGTAGTATGGACAATGTTTACGAGGTTTCCATTTCCATTTACCCTATTATCCGCATTTTTTGGAGGTAAACTGTAATCAGAGTTTAGCTTGTTTAGCTCAAATTAAGTTTTTTGAGGAATAAACTTTGTTTTCAGATCGATTGGTAACTCAGCAACAAAATGGCAAATGTGTTGTAAAGAGTACAACAGCGCATGTAACGGAGGGTTAAATCGGAAAGGTTCACGTCAGATTTCATCTTTTCAGGAAGATTTTGAGTGGATCTCGATTACCAAAAGTCAATTTGGTATTTTTTTTAAATGTAACCGGGTTTTACACTATTCCATTTCTGGATGAATGAAAATAATCTGATACTTCTTGAAGAAGACCCTTGTTGGACTATAAATAAGTGTCAGATTTTATCATAAAATTTTTACAATATTCATCAACATTTTCAAAATGGTTGATTTTTTTTTAATTGTTCATAAATCGCAAATTTGCTCAAAACTTTCAAAATTGTTTAAAATCTAGATAAAGTGGTCAAAATTTAATATTAAATTACTTAAAATTAACAACATTGTTTTATGTTTTCAAAATTGTTCAATATTTTCAAATTGTTCAATTTATATTTTAAAAATGTTCAAAATATACTAAATTACTCAAAATTATAAAGTTAATTAAAGATTATAAAAATGCTTGCAAAATTAAAGATTTTCTATCATTGACATCACTATGGCATGGCTGGTACAACTGGCGTAGTGGGGTCGCTTCTTAGATTCACGAAAATAAAACATCCAACGTAAATAAATCCTTATTTCCCGAGCAAATTGCCAGTAACAATTACTTCAAACGTCAATTATTCAAAACTGATAGCTCACCCACACAAACTAACACCACTATCAAAAAGGGCAAAGTTTTCCATGCCGGGTTATTTACGCCTCTGGCCCTGACGATAACAAAGCATTCTTTCACGCCTTACAAATGTTCATAGTAATGTAAAATAAACACGGCATTTTCTAAATAGGCCACCGTTAATAAAATAATCTTCAACAGCGAAAACTTCCCGCCAGTCTCAAATGGTTCTAATCCCAACTGTTTAAATCACCCCTCTTAATACTCTCACTAATTGGCATATTTTCTCGGCACCCCCTTCCTGTAGGTTAACAAATACCTGGAGCTCCCACCATTCAACTACCGCAATCCACTGGTATACTTCGGAGGCGTTAAACAGGTAAATATTTATCAACTATAAATCACTCATTTAGCATCATACCGTTTGCTAACCGACGAAGTGAGCATTCAATCCGAACGCCACACTACTAATGCTGTCGTGAGCGTTCGTTCCATCTACCTACGTATCACAGCCAAGATACATGCAGTTACTACTGCAGCTGCTGTTGTGCTTTAAAATCAATTTACACTCATGTTTAGAGCACTTACCGGAGCAGTAATTGAGAACTGAAGAAAAGATTGAACAAATTGGCTCCCAGCATCTATCCGATGTGTATCTGTATACAGTTTACATCGACCGAGTTGTCATCAGCTTCTAAGTAATATGCACCAGAGCAATTCTCGCTGAAACCGGTTCACTAGTTGTTCGAGGCTTGAGAATATGGGATGATATAAATAATACTTCTAAAAATTCATGCCTAGAGTCTTCATGTTTGCATACAATTCTTAAAAGAAACGTCAGGACTTTCATCTAGTATGTTTAGAATTGTTGACGGCCCTATTGAAATTAGCCGCCATATTGTATTTTTTTTTTTTGAGCATATAGTTTTTCATAAGCTTACCTTCCACCAAATTAAAGCCTAAGCACGCTGAGCGGAGATTTTTTCCAATAAGATACACATCAAATTATGATGGAGAATTTTTTCGTAAGGAACCAGAAGAAAAAGAAAGAATATATAATATGATCCCATACAATTTGTGATGATTCGGTTTCTTTTCTACCGCTTCCTTACGAATATCATATCGTAGTTCTCCGTCATTATTTAATGTGAATCTTATAGGAAATGGCGTGCTTAGTTGAATCAGCTTTCAAATGGCGTGCTTAGTTTTTAACTTGGTGAAGGTGATACTCTAAGGAAGCCTTAGCGCGAAACTTCAAAGGCACAAATGTCAGCTTCCACAAAACATACAAATTTGAAATTGCTACTCTCTGTTTGTAGTAGCACAGCAAACAAGGAGTAGCAATTTCAAATTTGTATGTTTTGTGGAAGCTGACATTTGTGCCTTTAAAGCAATGTTGCTGATTGATGAGCGAAGTCGCGATTTGAAACCGACAATAATCTCCACGGGAGAGAACTACAAACCAAAACTGTCTCTGTTCATCAGTCACCTACCGCTTCAAGAGAAGAGCGAAAGAGTGCCCTTTACGTTTACGCCTTTATCCGTTCATTCTATGAAATGCACAAATCCAAGCCGATACCGAGGAAACTCGGGCACTGAGTGAGTGCCGCTCGAGTTTCAGGTGGCTTGTATCACTGATTGACTGAGCCAATGGTTGAGCAAGATTTTACTGGTTATTATGTTCGGACACGGAGACACGGCAAAGAGAGAGAAAGTTTTTTTTTTTCTCCTGCCTGCCGCGGTCCGCGTTTTGTTTCATTGGTGAAGCTTATTGTTTTTATTCTTACTGATGCAGATTTTGCTGTTTTCACCCACTAAGTAATGCTCACCTAAATTTTGCTGCGGGGAGGCGAAATATTTTGCAACAAATGGACGGTTTTGCGCTAACGAGGCATCTTGAGGGCAGTGAGGGAAAGATGGACACTTTCTGTTTTAATCCAAAAAATAGTGTCGCATAAAATTAAATGTACTAAATTTAGTGCTTTAGCTCACGAAGTGCTTTGTTTTTAATTTATGAAATGTTGCCCACATGCAGAGTTTATAGTTACCGGAAATCCTTATATGTCAAGATGCAAATCAGGGTTAGAGATTGTTTTTAGATTTATAAACAATAATAATTAAATAGGGGCTTTTCATTAATTACATGGGCTGTTTTGGGGGTTCTACACAGTTTAATGTTTTTAGTGCATATTTTTATTGGAAAAGCTGTGGAAACTTTCCATATCTTTTGTCCCATAGATAACTACAGTAGTCTGGGGGCAAATTGATCACCGGGGTGAAATTGATCACTATGGGATGTGTTTTTGGTTAGCTTATAGCATATTTTTGGTGGTAGATATAAAGACAATTCTGATAGCATTTCATCGTGAGACTCCAATAACTGCTTTGACGAGTTTTTCAAAACAAACATGTTTTTCTGCATAAATTTCAGATTTATTGAAAAGATGTTAAAAATCATCAAATTTCATCACTCAAACAAGTAGTCCTAGTACAATAGAGATTGATGCCATTAACTTGAATGCGGTATTGTTTGTTAAAGAAAATGTCTATGAATCAGAGTTATGAAGAAAAAAGGAAGACAAAGTATTAAAAATATCGAGGCACCGTTATAATTGATTAATTCGAACATCAAGGTCAAACAATACTTGCATACTTTATTTAACTGGTTTGTTTAAAGTCCACTTCTTGAAATTCAACTTTACATAGAGGAATAATGCCACTCCTACATTAATAAACAAGTTTTAAAAAAAAATCGAGCATCCGGCATAATTTTGGAATTTCAATCTCCGAAAGTTTGTTTAAAAATAGTTTTCATTTCGGTGGCACTCTTGTTCCATCTGGCCCTATATTCCCCACCCCTATGTAATAATAAGTAACGAAAAATCACCCTTTCCCCACATACGTTACATAATTTGTAATGCAAATCACAATAGATTATTTTATATTTCTTTTTCAGTTTTAACAATAATTGTTTCTGTACTTACCCAAATGAATAATTTCAACATTCTCATTCTCATCCATGCATTGTGCGTTTATTGCAAAAATGTTGTGACCCCGACGTGACACTGAATCTATTTTCAGGTTCAACAGTCGCCCCTTTGCACGCTTACTAATAAGTTGTTTTATTTCCATTGCCCCTTTATCTACGTACCCAGGTATAACTGCTTCAACGAACAGGTAGACTCACTCTGACTCAATTTGTCTCTATCAACACACTCTGACTCAGACCTCGAGTTAGATGCATGGTGAATCAGAACGACTAAGCTCAATGACTGAGAGAGAGAGAAAGTCTGGTTAGATGAACACATTCTCAGCATTTGTCTGTTCTCCCGCTGAGTTGAGTCGGAATATTTTTGTTATTGCCTCTGTCCTATTCGTAGTGAGAGCCTGGTTGGGAAATGAACATTGTGAGTTATATCTCTCAAATACTGGTACTGAGTTTTCATTGATGCGAAAATTTGCAACATTGCTTTAAAGTTTGACGCTAAGGCTTCCTTAGAGTCAAGGTGACTATGTATAGGTGTTCTAATGTGTCAAATTCATGATTCAGCCATGTTGGATTTTTGTATGGGACAGCGACCGAGTTTGTTTACAATTTGCTCTAAAACCGCACTTTTCCTCCCCGCGACCTCCTCGCCTATATAGTGACAAAGCTGTATCACCATCTATATACCCACCATGCTCAGAGTAACACCCGAAATCCCTGAAGTTTCCCTTTTGAATTGTATGCAAGCATTTCTACACTCAGAAAAATCGTCACGTCCGATTTACGTGAAAATATAGGTGGTTTTCGTCCACCCTATTTTTCACGTAACTTTTACAGGAATTGCACGTAGCCGATCAAAATTCAGCTTCGATTATCTACGTAATTATTCAGGTAAATAAGGCCTGATTTCCACGTACTGCTTACGTAAAATTAGGATTAAAACTACTGAAAAACTGGTATCTTTTGCGTGATATTCCGTTTTGTTTAAAATGCTTTTCACGTAATTTTTATGTGAATTTTGAATGTGTTTGTGCAACGTCATCTACATGTACAACTACCCTACCCACTGTAGCTACTATACAAACGAATACAAATAAACAATATATCAGTATCTCGAATACCTCCGCCATGGCAGAACGGTCAAGCAAACTGTGTGTTTTATCAATTTCATCTCCGTACCTATCACAACGATCATAAACACAACGTAGGATCCCGCCCGTGCGCGATCAAATGAGAATAATGGAACTTATGTGTAGAAGCAGTGAATATTATGCAATTTCATCGGGTGGATATAAATTCCACGTGTTTAAATTGATACTTATATCTATTCATAAAATTACAAATTATTGACTACTTAGTAGGTGGAAATGTTAATGAGATTTTTTTTATTGCTGTCAAAATATTAATAACTGTTCGCAGACTCAAAATGTTGATGCCACCGTCTGAAATTATAAAACTAGAAAAAGGCTAATCATAAATAAATTAATATAAATGAATCAAATTACCGTCCAATATTTGAAGCAAGCTACTGGGAAATTTTGAATTCTTTAGGTGTTCTTCCACCACGCTTGGTGGCGCCATATTGACTTTTTTTGCGAACCTGAAAATCACGTAAATCTCGTTTCGCGGAAATATCGAAGTCCCAAACACACAAACACAAATTCACTAAATCTGTTTACGTGAGTATACGGTCGATTTCACGAACATTTTTAGTGGACATGACGTGTCAAAGGTCAAAGTTACTAACGTCACTTAACATTTGAGATTTCACATAAATCGGACGTGAGGATTTTTTAGAATGTAGAGATATATTGATATAAGGGAAATGACGGCTTCGGCATGACAGACTATTTTCGGAAACCCAAATTGAAACGCTAATATAGCTGGATTTTCTTACGAAAACACTTCTCTGAATGCATTAAAACGGTTCTTTAGGCTTTCAGCTTCAATTTGACTATATTTTTACCATTGAGAAAAAGCAATCTTGGGGAAATGGATGTAATGTTGGCCAAAATGCTCCTAATTTAGGCCCATACATTAATTCAGCAATCGACTAAATTTTCAATAGCGACCAAAAATATCCAATAGTACCGTCCCAATGACGCGTTCATCTAGATAAAATTGATAAAAAGCTGATTTTTAGCGATGGGCCCAATCTTAGATCCATATGCCAACATTAGAGCCATTTCCCCTACCAGGGTTTACTTGAAATGAAGCACACGCACTATAAAATACTGCTGATTTCGAGTTGCCGATGAAAGCAAAGTTGTTTAACACACAGCTCAAATAGAAAGGTTTCCGAATAAACAGATGTTGCCCACAATAGTTGCTCTCACTAGAGATGATCGGAGCTTTGTAAAAGCGTTTCAAAACAGTTTTTGACAATCCTTTCGACTGAAATTGTTAGAGCAGCCAGCTGGCAGCAAAAGATTGTAATCAAACCAAAACTGCATATGTGTGTGTTCCTTTTGGGGTGTTTACACTTATGCTATTTCACTAGCGCTAAATAGCTAGTTGCTAGTAAAAAAGCTCACTAGCTCTACCAGCATGAAATTTCAGGAGCAACTGAAATTCGTGCTAGTTGGCGAGTACACTAGCGCGAGTAAATTCGCACAGATGTAAACACCCCATTAGAGAAAAAGGCTATACACTCAGAAATTTTTTCACTTAGATATTACATGAAAATATATATAGATTTTTTCCATCTAGTTTTTCACGTAAATTTTACGTTTTTCATAAGTGGATTGGTTTACAAGTTCTAATTTCCAATAGGTACATTCAAAATAATCGACACGTTATAGTTACGTGAAAAATCACGTAGAGTATCTCTTTTTGCTTTGCCGTCAATTTTACATGATCCAAGTAGAATCTATATGGCACCACTTATATATGAGGGGGAATTCCATTCGAAGCCGCTACATTTTTTAATGAAGTTTACGTGATTTGCCCATACACACATTCAATGTGCGTTTCACGTAAACCCTAAGTGATTTTCACGTCTGAAAAAAATGAGTAACACTCAAAGTTGTAAACAATATGGTGCTAGTTCAGTGGGTATATTTTCATACCACTGTTACTTCAGATTATTGTAGATGTTACTTTGTGGGAAAATTTAATATGGTAAGTTTAATGAATTAAACATTCATATAGAGGATAATTTAGTCTGTTTTAGTGTGAATACAGCAGCCTCATGGAGTTAGATCAAGTGCCGGATATGTGTGATCCCCGATCCTTGTCCCGGTTGACTTTATTTCAATCTGATTTTTATGCCGATGTATATATTTTTAGACAAAATAAAAGCATATGCATAAAATAAGACTGGATTTTAGCCTAATGCGAAATCAAGAATTCATTTTATTTAAATCGTACCAGAATTAACATCATTATGAACCACCGAATCACCATGAGCTGTACTGAAAGAATCACGTAAATTCTACGTGATAATCCAGTGACGTTGAAGCTCACTCAAATGAGTGCTTCCATATGAGAATCACGTAACGTTTACGTGAAAAGTGCGATGGAAAAAATCTATGTATGTTTTCACGTAGCATTAACGTGAAAATTATTTTGAGTGTAGTATAGGATTTGGAAATAAATTGCACTTTATTTTCATGTTGCATCTAAGTGAAAATAACTCCAAGTGAAAAGATCTTTGCCCAATCCACTAGAAAACAACATAGATTTTATGGTTTTTTCTAAGAAAATTTTATTATGTTTTCACTTAAATTTTAGTAAGTTTCTTCGTAGCATCATCCATTGTAAGGAATTTAAAAATAATTTTTCGAGATAATAAAAATTTTATTGTTCAGAAAGCTGATAATATATTCCTATTAAAAACCCAAATAATGTAACTATTCCACAAATGGTTTGGATGATACCCAAACACGTCGTTAAGCAAAATAACCATAACAATTTTTATTAGGGATATCTTATGTGTTCCAGCAACTTCCGGCCAGCTGCACATCCTCTGCCAATCTTTCGGGTGAGATCATTCCTCGTTCTAAAAAAATACCATAAATAAATGGTGTATCGTAACAAAAATAAAACATCTACTTATCAGAAAATTCAACAAGTCCAATGGTACTTATGAATGCAGCAACAACTCGTCAGCAATGCACCGTTTGGACGCCATGTTAGGTTTTGTTTGTGCCATCATCACTCAGTAATTTTCACACTATAAATTCATGTAGAATCTAGGTGAAATTATCTTACATGTAATTCATTTGAAATTCATATTCATCTAAGTTTCAAAGCGAATTACATTGCTTTTAAAACGATTTGTAATAAATTTTATTAACGTCATGTACTTTACAGACAATTGTTAAAAACTGAAGGTTACGTGTTTTTCCAGTGAAATTTATGTGACAAATTTTTTGAGTGTAGAGTTCTCCAGATGCACAAAAGTGTGCGTGAGACCACGCGCTACCTTTTGAAGTAGTTGTGATATCGCGCTATCTTTTTGGTTCTTCTTCTTCTTCTTCTTCTTCTTCTTCTTCTTCTTCTTCTTCTTCTTCTTCTTCTTCTTCTTCTTCTTCTATTTCTTCTTCTTTCTTCTTCTTCTTCTTCTTCTTCTTCTTCTTCATTTTTATATATGGATGTTGGATTTTATTTTTTGGTGAGATTGCGCTTGGAGATCTCTATAGAAAGATGGTCGCTGCTTAAGTTGCCGAGAATACGTAAATTTCCCTAAGTCATCCATGAACATACAAAAAATGATCTTTTTCTATAACTGATCGAGCCCCTAGTTATCGAGGGGTCCATCGATTTAACATTCTGTAGAACGATTTTTTTTTTATGTTTATAACTAGAGCAATCGAATAGATACGAAAGAAATGATTTTTAAAAAGAAACTCGAACAAAAAGTGGCCGGTTTCAGCGACAGTTGCTCTCACGTATAGTCGTTTGCTAGAATGTCCTCTTTTCTCCTGGTCGATTACTGGCTGCAGCTAGGGGTGTTGCAGTTTTCTCCTACTATATTAGATGCAATTTTATTGGTGTAATTAAAACCATTGTAGCTTGAATATGCAGGAGAACACGTATAAGACCCGACCAAATCTTTTTGCAATGCGTACCTGATAGAGGCTATGTATTATTTATCAACGGAAGTAAGATCGGGGTCCAATTCATCCTGATGTGATGAAAGACCACTGGTCGTTGTCAAACATTTCAGTTTTAGCAAAGGATGCACCCTGATGTCATTCGATCGATTGTGTGTAGTATGGAGCTTCATTCGAACTTTAATCAGCAAGTTTCAATCTGGTAAAATGATGTGACTATTTGGTAGAGTGGGGGAAATGGGTGGCACATGAAGTCGAGAATGCATCGTAAAATGAAAATATCAGTCGTTTGTGTCTCCATGTGAGGATGCTGTACACATCCTGTTTCATAAAAGAGGGAAAATATACACGTTATTGACCTGCAGTCAGGGTATTTGCTCTAGGTAATCGATTTACTAGGAAAAAGTGTGTAATTTGGGAATAACTAGACATTTGTTAGTGTCATCGTTTAAATTTCGATCAAATGATTTACATCTATATACGGTAATTGCATTTTGTATCTATATGTAAACAACCGCAATTAGCAACAAACCGTTCATAGCTATTCGTAGCTCAAAATCTATTCTGATTGATAGCTCTAGCTTCTATTTACCACGTGACTTATTTCGATCAGTCCGAAACATTTCCCCGAAGGATTACAATCCGGCTACTTTTCCAGAATTGATGCGTCATCTCCACGTAAATCCGACGGTTTTGCCAGAATTATGATTGATTGATTGAGTACCTACGCAGCAGACTGAATAAAATATCACTCTCCTTATCCACCTTCAATCTCGTTGACAGATTCGCGCCGAAGCAGCCTATCTCTACGATGCGGTTCATTTGTATGCTAATGCGTTGCTTCGTGTCCTGCTAGGCGGCGGGAGTCCTAAAAACGGTACCGCAATTATCGAAGCCATCAAGGGCCGAGCTTATTTGAGCGCGATGGGGTGAGATGAAACCTTTTTTATGGTCTGGGTCTAAACGACGCGTCTAATCGATGGTCTTCACTTTATTTCAGCTATCTGATACATATCGATGAGAATGGTGATGCTACCGGGAATTATACTATTTTAGCCAGAAAACCTATGCCCTCTGCTTCATCGGAGAGAGAATATGGACTGTTTCCAATCGGACGCTTTAGTACGCCGAACGCCTATGCTATTCCGGTAAGTTTTCGTCGAAATGAACCCAAGCGCTAATCCCAGCAATATGTAGTTTATAGACGCTTGTAATAATTAGCGCTCGCTTTTCTTCTATTCTGTGTACGATTCTATCAGTTCCAGGTCCAGGTGAGTCGATGATAAAAGGTCATCTTTCATAGAAGGCCAAAGCACGCCAGATTTAGTTTTGTCTATTCTAATCATTATTTCTCTGTTGGAGTGATTTTGAAGACATTGTGTAAACCAAACCACACTGGAAATGTGAATCAATATTCGATTGTGAACCTTTTTGCACCAAGTGCTTGTCTCAGATGTAACAGAAGAACTTCACTACAAACTAATTCAAGCGCTATTCCCTTATCCCGTGCCTGCTACATATCTTAGTTTGATTTATTTTCTTTCACCATTTGTGTCCTTGTGTTGTCATTGCACGGCACAGTAGGCCAGGAATGAAATCTAGCAGGAATACATTAATAACTCTGTAGGATTGCATCCAATTAAGTTGACGTCTTAAGCAAAGCTTATTGGTTATGCTAGGACTACAATTTGATGGAAAACATATTTTTTGCCGTATAGATGGCACGATGATCTAAACTTTTTTATTTTGAGTCCTAGAAATCTCTATCAAATCTGCTTATTTCGGCAATGTTGTAGATCGTACAATTTTATGAAAAGTGGTTGAAGACATCCGAGTTCTACATATTCAAATATCTGAGATCTTATTTTTTGGCTTTATCAACTTAGAGTTCTTTGAGAGCTTCCACAGCTGTTAATTTGTACCATTTTTGCATCAGTATTATTGTGTGGTAAGCACAATCATGCTCTATGCCCAGGAAAGTCGAGAAATGTATGAATCCGAAAAATTCCTAGACCAAGCTGGGAATTGAACCCAGCCGCCTCCAGCATGATCTTGCTTCATAGCTGCACATTTAACCAACTGAGCTAAGGGAGGCCCCAAGGTATGAGATCCTAACCAGATGTGCTCAAATTTTGGGTTAATAATTAAGACCTGATTTTAAATCGATTGACTGCGGTGGAGCAAAATAGACATTTTGATCCACCCTAATGTATACTCATGTTTGTAAGAAGGATATAAACTTAAGTAGCTACAAACCAGGAAAATTTTTTCAGGGTGGAGCATTTCCCGAAACAAAGGTGCATTTACCTTTTTGCCATTCATAATATTACACATACTGAACAGCTTGCTTTAAATCCGAATATCTCAAATATACTCCTAGTCATGCTTGGCATGCACAGTTGAACACACCAACTGTGCTAATTTGTTAATAACTTTTCACTCAGTTGTTGAAATTTGTTTTTCTTTAAAGTAATTGATATATTAGGATCATAGTTTACTATAGATATGCAAAGAGTAGGTAAATCTTAAAATTTGAATCAACACCAATGAATTTTTACATTTAAAGTCCAAGATGTGCAGCGAGCATTTCTCACTTCATTTTTACAACGCAAAAACAAATAAAGTTTATTGCTAGAATTAAAATCTACTTTTTTTTCCTATATATAAGAAGCTTAAACTCTATTCTATCGACTGCTTGAAAAAAGAATTATGTTTCGTCAAAAGTTATTAGCAAATGAGCTGTTCGTGACCAAAACTGTGTATGCTAAGCATGCCCCTAGTAACATTTCAAACTTTAACAAGGTTTTATCGTATTATACAAGTCTAAATAATGGTCTACAGAACTCACATAAATCTAAAATTGTTTCTTGGAACCTGAGATTTTTAAAGAGATTGTAGTCATAAGTATATTTTGAATAGCTGGTATCATTTGTGAGAACATTATTTCTAAAACTCATGATATTTTCCTAAATTTTGAGCTATAATTATTTTTTCAGTACTAAAAAACAAATTGTATTCTTCAAGAAGAAATTTGAATGATCTGTAACGATTGCCGAAAAATGATTAAATTATTCGTTTGAACGAATTTATTAAACAAAGTACACTAAACGTAAATTTCAGATAAACTGTCCAAAACATATAGAGTTTATTTATTTGATTTAATTTATTTAAGTATGTAGAACTTTGATGTCTTACGCAACTTTTCATATTTTTTTTTCATTTCACAACTCCACCCAAGGAAGGCAATTCTTTAGGACGCAAAATAAAAAAAGTTGAGATCGCTGCCTCATTTATAAGTTCATTCATTCAGCATAAGTTTGACATAGGTTTTTTGCTCTATATTATAGTCCTATCAAACCAAAAAACTTTGCCGAAGACGTCAACTTAATTGGAAGCAATCACACAGCGTTCTTAACATATTCCTGTAAGATTTTTTCCTGGCCCACTGTGCATGGTAGTCTAGAATAAGCATGTAAAATGGTAATAATCAGTTGCTTCAATAAGAAGTGTTAAGAGGAACTATGATGATAAAACCCATCTTTACAACTCGGCATGTACATAACATTAGGGTGGGGCTTATTTTTCAAAATCGTTCGTGGACATGTTTTCCCATGTGGAAAGTTATTATTGGGACTAATTAAGTAACATTATCAAAAGTTGAGCTTTTTTCGTTGACATTTAGAGATGGCGCAAGAGGTCTAAGTCCAAAATGTGGAACGATGAACTTTTTCTAATAAAACATATGCGTCTATAAGTAAGCACGTAATTTTGTCTTCACTGGTTCTCGAGATATATGGCATAGCGATGTTCTCGTATATGGACTTACGCTTGCATATTGATCTATCGCAATCAGCATCTTTGCAGTGCTTTATGGAGCGTGAGTAAATATGAGAATGCGAGGGAATAAGAGATAATGAAAGAGAAAGAGAGATAGAAAACAAGAAAAACGAGGGGAAAAGGAGCAACAACAGAAAAGGACCCATCAGCATTTGAACAAACCGTTATAAAGGCCTTTCCTCTCAAATCGAAGGCCACCCACGCAAACCAACTGCATTATCGTGTATGGGAAAATTTCTCCTTACCGATTATGCTGTTGTAAGCGGCTTCCGATTTGTGAGGAAAAGGGGTTAGAACGGTTTGTTTACAAATGCTGATGAGCCCTTTTCTATTTTTGCTCCAGCAGTGTTGGAAAAGTTCGCGATATTTCACGAAGTTCACCAAGGGAAAAGTTCGCGAGTCATAGTGAGTTTTCGTGAACCTTTACATCACTGTGCTCCAGAAACATCTCTAAATAGATGTTCAAGCTAACAATAAGTTAGAGAAGTATTTCGAGTTATGGTGGTACCTAAATGTGCATGGGAAATGTGGTCGAAGGAGTCTAGATACCCTCTGGAAGAAGGATTGACTGTATTTTAAATGTGATCTGATTTCAAGGTTAAGTATTAGTAATACTTATCAACAACTGGGGGGCGACCCCGGCGTAGTGGTTAACTTCCATACCTCTCACGCCAAGGTCAATAGTTCAAATCTTACCCCGGACAAGTCACGAATGACGCAAGAGTATTAAAGTGACTTTATAAAAAAAATTCAACAACTGTTCTTTTCTTTATGCTGGGAAGGTTTTGTTTATGAAAATTTACATGTACAGTTTACGGTTTTGGAAATTATCCTGATCGAAGTGTGATTTGCTTGTAGATGGAAGCGAAAAAAATTCCTCCCGTCAAAGTTTTGGATTTTCCGTTGTTCTGGATTTTTTTTAAAAGTAAAGTGATATTGGTGACGAACTGATACTTGAATATCTTGAATCGAGTTCTACAGTGTGCGGGTTGTGTCGGACGGCCAAGAGGTGTTTCTAGACTGCATTCGAGACATTACGTGCAAGCTCTGCCACAAACCGGATTACCCCGTGACGCGAACCGTCTACAATTGCGACTTCCCCTCTAACACATCAGGCCAGCTTGTTGGGTTATCTTGGCCAGATTTGGTGAGTTCGTTCCATTTTGTCCTTTATAATATTTTCATACTTAATTTCCGAGTACTAGTATTAGCAAAGAAGAATACTAAGATGAAACTGTCGCAAGAAAAACTTTCTATTTTAGTGTCCTCTTTCACGGTCCCTTTCATCCAATGAATATCCCCCGTATGCAAGGTAATTTTGTGGATTTGCTGCCCCCTCGGTAGAGATGAAATTTTGCGCTCTTTTTATCAAAACAATCACTCCAAAAGCAGAGATGTCTCATTTTTAATTACTCGATTAACAACTAATCGATTTTTTTTGTTCGCTGTGCTGTCATTTTTCCACCAATGAGAGTGCAGTACATGTTTGAAACGATGGATGATGATCCTCTGGAGAAGTTAATACTTATGTCAGCATGATATAACCGATTACAAATATTTTACTTTTCGGTTCGTTAATCGATTAATCGATTATTCGAATGAAAATTCATCATCTATGAATGTGAAACGTCATTTCAAATATAAGGACCGTACATAAATAATGATACAATTTGAAAGGGACCGGGGCTAATCACAAATTATGTCCCCACGGTAACTGAAATAAACACGAGTGCTCACCGGTTGGTATTAGTGATACTACAAACATTTTCAACTCATTAAATACGCGCCAATCAACCAATACAGATTGATTGAAAGTTCCAGTACATTATTAATGATTCCCACATTGAAATGTATTGGAGTAGGGCTTATCGTATACGAAAATAGCGTCGGAATGCTTGCGTTCTTGAAATGGGATTTTGGAGTTGCAATGGAGCTGTCACCTTCTAACTTCCGGATTTTAGCTTCTTGCAATTATGTATATGAAAGATGGTTGCAGGAGGATTCTATCTATAATTCGATTGTGCCGAAAGGATCACAAAGTTAAACGAGTCATAACAACAAAATTACAGCAACTACCTTGAAAAGTCGTACAGAACTCTTTACAGTATTTCGTTGAAATATTTGCATGAAATTTCTTTAAAATATTTTCCCTTTACAGATTTCTTTACAGAATTCCTCGCAAATACATGTTTGGGCCTCTCTGAAGTTTTTTTTATTCTTCATAGAATTTTCATGCAAGAACATCAAAAAGGTCCTGACATTTTGCTCTGACCTATCTATTTTATTTTCTCAAAAAGTTCTCGGAATTAACCTCGAAATTCCCATGAAAATCTTCTCTGAATTTGTTTGAAATTGTACTCTCTTATATATTCTTGGTATTCATCTTTTCAGAATACATTTGGAACATTTATTATGGAGCTTTTCCTCGGCAAATAACAAAACTATTGGACACGACTTTTACCTATTTGAATGGAACATTGCACATGTGTTTTTTTTTTAATTAATTTAGGGGGCGACCCTGGCGTAGTGGTTAGCATCCATACCTCTCACGCCAAAGTCACAAGTTCAATTCTTACCCCCGGACAAGTCACGAATGACCCAAGAGTGTTAAAGTGACTATAATAAAAAAAAAAAAAAAAAAATAATTAATTCATTTGATAAGGTTCAATCGAATTATCTTTACAGAGACAAGGATTCTTGTTCATTATTCAAAACATCGTAAAACTATATTCAAAAAAGTACAGCACAACACTTTATCTTCCGCTATCCAATAATCCTCCATCACAACGGGATCCGTTTCCAGTGCTTTCATTGTATGGCAGTATCGCCAACGCAGAGCGCTTCAATTGCAGCAATGGTCGCAAAACGTGGTCATCACTACCACTCGAAAGGGTTGCTTTCCAAAGTCGACGACGCATCGACCGAAAGAACTGCTGATGAAGAACAATGGGGGACCACACAATGGTTGCTGCCGAGTAAACAGACGATCGCGTGACACACATCTAGAGGGGCCTGCTTCTGTTGACAGCCTAGTGATTACACATGTGTTGGTTGCTACCAAATATTATATTTTTCATTAAAATATGACCAAGTTTTGAGACTATGTTTTAAAAAGGGCGTATTTTTAAAAAGATTTCAAAATTCGGCTAATTTTATCAAAACAATGTTTTGGAATAAGTTGCAGGGGTTTAAACAAGACAAAAACTACACTGAGAGATTTAGGGTAAGTTTGAAAGCTCCCGTGTCTGAGAATGAAATGTTTGTTATTTAGTATCCAATTATGGAGAATGCAGTTTGTACATGAAAATCACACATTCGAAAAATGTCTAAAATAAAGTAAAACATAATTTCCTGCGTTTAAAATTGGCAATCACTTGATGACCGTTTGTGTTTGGGAGAAAAGTGCTACAAGCTAATTTATTGAAAAACATTTTTGAGAGCGGCGCCGGTGGTGTAGTGGTAAGGGTGATTACCTCTCACCCCAGCAGGATGGGTTCAATCCCAGTCAGTGCCGCCGGGATGTTCTGGGGCATAAAATCTCTGATCACGTCTTCCGTCGAAAGGGAAGTAAAGCCGTTGGTCCCCGGTTCATGAGTTGATGGGTCGATAGGTAGGGTCCAGGTGTGGGAGCTGCTTCCCTGGCGTCGGTATCATTGGTGTTCAGCACGGAAAACAAGATCGACGGAAACCAAATCAAGGAAAAAAAAAAAACATTTTTGGTATTATTTTACTCTAAATGAGTCATATAATTCTGTTTTAAAATTTGATGAAAAGAAAAAATACACTGGAGTCGCTTTTTACGCGGTTTTTTTACATGGTATTTTACGCGGATTTTGGAATTTACGCGGTTTTTACAAGGTTTTTAAGTGGTTTTTTACGCGGTTTTTTTTAATGCGCTCTTTTAAAAACATAGTCTTGAAAAGTAGTAATGTTTTCAATACTTCATTCATATTGGAAAGGGTAGGGCCAAAACTGGTATTTGTGTATGCGTTTTGAGCTGGAAATGCTCTATATATCATTTTTCTATAGGAATTTTCCTCAGAACATCGACAAAATTCAATTCTCCTTAAATTCACCTAGAACTCCTATAAAAATTACCTTGGAACTATTCTATATTGACTATATTGACTTGTAGTTCTTGCCAAGACTCACTTAGAGTTGTTGCCAAAACTCCTGCGGTATTTTTGAAGGTGAACTAGCCCATAAATAACTAAAAATCACCCTAATAAAATATGCTTTGCAATTTTGATCAATTTGCTCTTAATTGTTCTTCTTTAGTGAAGTTTATGTTTTCCCTAATTGTTATCTAAATTCGCTGGATTTTTCCGGTCTGGCCGATGATTTCGGATTCCTGTCCGTTCCCGGTTTTCCCAATTTTTCGGTTCTCTGGTCAACCTGAATTTTTAAATAAATACAGTTATTTTATCTTCGGTGTCAGTATGTTTCAAAATTACGCAGATTTCATGTTTCAAGTTTTTCCAGAACCCTCATTTTTTTTTCTCAATCCAGGATCATGATTGTTTTTATGTTTTAATAGATACAGATTTATTGAATTTCAAATGATTTTCAGAATTCAGAAGATATTCGACTAATTTTAGAGAAACTCAAGAAACTTCATTCAGAGATCATTAGTAGCTTCGTGTTTTCTGTGCCTGATTTCCTTATTATTTCCCCCTTCACAGAATTTCCTCAGAGTTTTCTTTTTCATAAGTACCCTAAAATAGCTTTCTCATTCAATGAGCACTGTTTAATGTACAAATTATAGGCGAACCATTGCAGATTAATAAAAAAGGGACAGATTTTTTTTTAAATATTTGTTTCTTTTAGCTTTGGACATGACAAAATTTCTAAATGTTTATATACCTCTAATGGTGGTAAGTTCCAACCGGTATTATCCTCGGATTAATCCTGATAAAAAATGACCGGCTGCTTTGATGTCAACTTCAGAGTTAATCAACACGATTCGAAGCAAACCTTATGCAGATCTTTCAAACAGGGTCGGTATTAAAAGTTAATCCTTACCAGCTTACCACCATCATCAGGGTGCCTTCCATTCATTTTGACTAAAAAAATGTTTTAGGAATTTATGGAATAATACGAAATTATGATGGTATTTTGTATGTGTAAGGAACAAGACAAATTTTCAAAGTTTGTGTTTGACACATAAAACCTGCAAATTTAGCTTTGGCAGAGCCACAATGAGCGATTTTCTGATCGCCTCTTCGCGAAGAGTGAAGAGTGAAGAGTGGGTGAGATAAATGACAAAATCGCTTATTGCGACTCTCATGCAGCAACATTGGCTGGTATTATGTGTCAAACACAAACTCCACAATCTTTTCTTGTTGCTTACACAAACAAAATGTTATTATAATACCTTATTATTCCATAATTTTATAAAACATTTTTTTAGCCAAAATGAATGGAAGGAACCCTGACCATCATAAGTGTGTATTCCAAACCACCTTGCATAACGATAGAAGCGAAAGAAAGAAAATCATTAGTGACCCATCTATCATGCCTTTTTGGTGTAACTATAGCCTGCCATTGAATTGTTTTTGTTGTTGTTTGCGCGTGTGTTGTCACGAAATTGATTTTGCCTGAGGGGATTTTTTTGTTCAGCGGAACTTGCCTTTATTACCGTCTTTAACTACTTTTTTCCGTGGCTACTTCCAGGACATCAAGCTTTTCGGTGCCATCGATTGGGTGGGATATGGGCCGCCCATTGCCGAGCCCTACTGTGGCTTTCAAGGCGAGAAGTGTATAAGTGAGTATTGATGGGTAGCATTTTTTCTTATTTGATGATAGGGCTATGGAAATCCGTGTGAATGACAGTTGTTTGAATTGAACTGATGGCCATTGGTTGTGAATAATTTTGATTCTGTTAGTTCAGATGGATGAGTAATCTACGTTGAAAAGAGTTTGTTTTTACAAATCAAATACATTAACCAAATGAGTTCTGTAATAATGCGTCCCCAATTCTGATTCAGTTGATGTATGCCTCCACTCCTGGTTTATCTTTAATTCATGAATCTTTACTACCTTGTGCAGGTTACACTGGTGAGATTTCGGCTGGCATAGCCGGCGGTGCTCTGCTACTGTTAGGGGTCGTCTCGCTCGTGCTTTATCGAAACTGGCGCTACGAACAGGAGTTGGATAGCCTGCTGTGGAAGGTGGACTTTAAAGACATTCAAATGCACGAAAACGAAAAGGAAAATAGCGGACAAAAAATGACGAGGGTAAGTATGTATGATCCAGTAGGTTTGAGGGTTGGACTTTGTTTAATGGTCGAGGCAGTGAGGGTTAAGCTGATGACTGGTTTTGCTCGTAAAATCCTGACAGGGGTAGCCTTTTGACACTTGTGTCGATTTTGGTGTGATTTATGTGGGACAATTTTAAATTGGTTGAAGTTTAGCCTTTGATGGAGGGAGCTTCTAGGAATTCTTTGAAAGTGCGGATGTGTAATTTATAATGCCTAGAATGGTCTCTGCATTTTCAGTTTTTATTGTTTTTGTCATCGGTACCATCTAGCCATGCTATGCCCCGATCAGAAGTCCTCTAACATTGGACCGACATTATCGACCTGAAAAAAGTCATTAAGATATCGTTGTGACATTTTACAGCTCCGTAGTGAGTTCTAATGAAATAAAAATCTTTAGGCAAATTGGCTGTTACATGCAACACCGACAGTGCTGTACGTTTTAAGTGTTAAATGATGATGATGATGATGATGATGATGGTCCCACCTCTTACCCCTACAAAGGTTTGAGCTGGACGATTTATCTTTAAGATAATTAAATATGACATTTTAACCAGGTTGACAAACAAAATCGAACTGGTTTCAGTTACAGATACAAATTCCCTCTAGAGTTTACAGTTGCTTCACAGCGATATAAATGTGGTAAGGCTCAGGCGTCCACCTCTTAGTTCACCTTTTTGTCCACCTAAAATATTCATAAGTATTTTAAGCAATCAAGAGTTAGTGAACAATCAACAAAGCATCCTATTACACTAGCAACCCCGCAATCTGATGCTATCATAGTTTTCAGAAATGTCAGGAAAGCTCACGAAACCCCAGCATTTGCCAGAAAACTTACTACTAACTCAAGGTATCTTCCAAAAAAGCTTCAAAATTGCATTTTTTGTAATCTAATTTTAAATTCAGTCCTCTATATCCGTATTACGTGCGAGGCTCAAACCTTTGTAGAATACTTTTTTTTTAAACTACTACTATTGAATAAAAAATTTAAAATCCATCATCACCATCGTGGCGAACAGAAATAGTTTTTGCAGTGCTTCAATAATTCTTAAAAATTCGTTATGACAGCTTTCCATATAAAATAATCCGTTAGAGATAACTTCGTCAAGATACATAATTTGTCAATTCATAAAAAAAAATCACTGGATAACTGTTCAATGTAAGATTCTATGACAGATTTGCATTAGCAATATGCAGAATTTGAAAGGTTTCGTAAAATAAAAAGATTCTGTAATGTGGTCGTCGGAGAGTTTCTTGTATAATTTCGTAATTTTTACGTAGGCTTAATTTTCGAAAAAAGCTTGCTCCCCCAAATGCATTACCTTGGGGCCTAACTACTGTTGTTCAGCTGTATATATCCAAAAAGGCGATATAACGTGCCTAATAGACTGATGTAAAATTTGACATTTTCGCTCCACAGTGCTCAAACGGTTCCAAATTGGGCCCTGATTAGCCTCCCAAAATTTGAACTCATTTAGTGAGAAACTGACTTGGCACAAACCATTTGAAGTTTATATGGGAATTACTATGAAGAAACCATACCACTCAAAATTCACCAGTTCACTCTACTTTAAAAAATGATAGCTGAGCTTGTTGAATTTTTTTTTCAGCTACAACCTTGTTGAAGACCAGTTTTCGATCAAATGTAAGGAACAAAAGTTATTAATGATTCAAGTCACTGATGTCTTATGATTATGATCAATCAACTGTTCAGCAGGCAACATTGGTGTTTATGGCGCGTAGAATAGAGGACAAAAATCATGGCTACTATGTCACACTGCTCACAGTGTTCACTCGGCTGTCGACAGAAGCAGACCACTTTCAATGTGTGTCACGCGATCGTCTGTTTACTCGGCAGCAACCATTGTGTGGTCCTCCTCATTGTTCTTCATCAGCAGTTCTTTCAGTCGATGCGTCGTCGACTTTGCAAAGCAACCGTTTGGTGATGAATGTGTGAGTGCTGACCACTTTTTGCGTCCATTGCTACCTTGGAAGCGCTCTGACCCTCGTTGGCGAATCTGCCTAACAAGTAAACCACTGGAAGCAGCTCCCGTTCTGGTAGAGAAGGCTTATTGGATAGTGGAAGATAAAATATTTATTGTGTTGTACCTTTTGACTATAGTTTTAAGATGTATTGTATAGTGAACAAGAATCCTCGGCTCTGTAAAGTTAATTCGGTTGAGCCTTATCAAATAAATAAATAATAATAAATGTCATACTGCAGAATACAGTGTTACCCACAATACAGTTGCTTAATTTTGCCATAAGATAATAATATTAATAACTATTTAATTTGACGTTTGTCTGAAAAATAATTTTCTGCAAAGTTGTAGCTTATGAAAATTCCTATAAGAATAACTCCGTTAAGGTGCAAGTGACCTAGCGAGTGAATAACAATTTCAAAAATGATTTTCTCTGGGACATCACTGCAGATTGGAAAAAAGCTCTCGTAGTTTTGTACGAAATAATAAAAGGAAAACATCGACGAGAGTTTTTGGCAATCTGAAGAGATGTCTCAGAGAAATCTATTTTTGATTTTTTTTACTCACTAGGCCACTTTCACCTTAATGATGCGGTGTAAATATTTAGTACTAAATAAGATCAGCTTTACAGCCATTTTCAGCATTTCCATAAATTTACAAAGCATGGTCATGCAAATATACGGGTAAGATCAAGTCTCCTCCCTTGGTTCAAGTATAACCACTTTGCTCAAAGCATTTCAAAGCAATGTTTAGAGAACTTTTTTTTAATCTATTCTCATGGAAGTGTAGGATTAAGGTTTCAACAATTGCTAATTTAAATAGCAGACAAGATTCGACAGATTGTTAATTAACCTTGTCAAACTTTATTACAGACCACTCATCCACTGGTACGCACCAGTCAGGTTAGCTTGAGCTCGAATCCGGATACGGACTTTCGTTATACGACGATCTTTACGCCGATTGGATTGTACAAGGGGCAGCTGTATGCTATCAAAAAGGTTCGTAAGAAGAGCATCGACATTACCCGGGAGATGAAGAAGGAACTCAAGATGCTACGGGATATGCGTCACGATAATCTGAATGCATTCATTGGTGCGTGCACGGAACCTCCGAACATTTGCATAATCACCGAGTATTGCACAAGGGGCAGCTTGAAGGTTTGTTGTGGCATGATTATACAAATCAGAGATTGTTTTTAAACATATACCATCTTACTTAAGGACGTGCTGGAGAACGAGGATGTGAAGTTGGACAACATGTTCACGGCATCTATGGTGGCCGATATTCTTCGGGGGATGATCTACTTGCACGATTCTCCATTGCGATTCCATGGATCACTGAGAACTTCAAACTGTTTGATTGACTCAAGATGGGTAGTGAAGCTAAGCGATTTTGGATTATTCGGATTCAAGCAAGGTGCCGATGACATACAGGACGGAAAGGAAAAGGCGGAGGTGAATTGTCAAAGTATGTTTGATCTAGACTTAATGTTCACTTTTAATAGTAACTAAATTTCAAATCATTGCAGAACTTTTATACCGCGCACCGGAATTGCTAAGAGCTGGACCGGTTTCGTGTGTTCCTGGGTCTCAGAAAGGAGATGTCTATTCATTTGGTATAGTCCTGTACGAGATATTCACCCGCAAAGGCCCATTCGGAGAGATCGAATGTACCCCAGCGGAATGTTTGAAGCGGATTCTGCACCCCCTGGATCCGAATACACCTTTCCGACCGGCGATTCAACCGTTGGAGACTTCATTCGATTGTGTTCGCGAATGTTTAAAGGAGTGCTGGTTGGAAAAGCCGGAAGAGCGACCAGATTTCAAAACTATTAGAAATAAGCTACGAGTTCTAAGAAAGGGCATGAAACCTAACATTTTCGATAACATGATGGCAATGATGGAAAAATATGCTACCAATCTTGAGCAGTTGGTGGATGAACGAACGGATCAGCTTCAGGAAGAGAAGAAAAAGACGGAAGCACTGCTACTGGAAATGCTTCCGCGGCCCGTGGCAGAACAGTTGAAACGAGGGCATAAAGTTGAGGCAGAGAGCTACGATCTAGTCACGATCTATTTTAGTGATATTGTTGGTTTTACATCGATGTCGGCGGAGAGTACTCCGTTGCAAGTGGTAGATTTCTTGAACGATCTGTACACGTGCTTCGATTCAATTATTGGGCACTATGACGTGTACAAGGTGGAAACGATTGGAGATGCATACATGGTGGTATCAGGTCTTCCAATTCGGAACGGGTTAACTCATGCGGCTGAAATTGCTTCCATGTCCCTTCAGCTGCTAGATGCGGTATCTGAGTTCAAAATCCGTCACAGACCAAGCGATCCGTTATACTTGCGAATCGGTATCCACTCAGGGCCAGTGTGCGCTGGAGTAGTGGGTCTGAAAATGCCTCGATACTGCCTTTTCGGGGATACGGTGAACACAGCATCTCGAATGGAGTCTACAGGTCTACAGCTGAAGATTCACTGCAGCTTACAAACCAAAGAAATCCTGGATTCTCTCGGGGGATATCATTTTGAGGATCGAGGGCTTATTCCTATGAAGGGTAAGGGAGATCAGCGAACATTCTGGCTTGTTGGAGAGGATCCCGAAGCAAGAACCAAACGAACGCAGGAGCGAACTGAGAGACGCGGCTCGCGTGCTTTGAACAAATACATCGGTATGCTCAAACAACACAGCAATACGAATGGAGTGAGGAGTTCGCTCAAGAATCGTGCACTTTTACCACGAAGCTCCCTGCCGCGCTCATCTAGTCTAGAGTCACCAAAGCGTTTGAGATTTGCCAGTGGGTCCATGTTGGAACAACATCGGTATCATCAGTAAGTGTTTGATATGTTTCGATAGTTCAGATTTAATAAATTAACATTGCAATTGCATTACAGCTACAGTGATGACGCCCTGATGGAGGTTATTTCCGATAGTAGCACTCGGAAATCCGACAACAGCTTGGCTGAAACCGAGGATTTCACTTCTTCTTGCCCGTGTATCGATAATCTAGGACTGAATACCGAACGATTCCTTACGCAATCTTGCCCAACGGTAACGACTCCTCTGCTTACTAATACAGTTGCTACTTAAATAGTTGATAACTATTAGAATATTTACATAATAACGACCAATGTCTTCATGTTTGTGTAACGAAATCATTATTTATGAACTTTATCTAGTCATTACAGCTGTTATAACAGTTATATGTTAAAGTCGATGTGATAAATCATTGCTGTTACTTAAAATAAAAACAAAACAGAAACGACATCAGGTTTCATAAATAATGCGAAGTTTACTAAGAGTAGTGTAGAGAAATTAATTGAATTTTGAGAAAAAAAATTGGCGCAAATATACATCAAAATTCCAATGATACAACTAATGCAAAATGAGAGGATTGTGGTTCTTATCGTACTTCAATAAAGGAATCTGTTTGATGTGAACGCACGGGCTAAGCTTTATTTCATCACCTTTCCCTGATATAAACTACCACGCTGCAGTATACGAGCTCATCTAGATCACAAAAGCTTCGCAGTCAAGCTTCAATGAAGTATACATTCAGCAGAATAAGCCTTGTGATGAGAAAAAGCTCTGAATTGCTGGGCTTCATGTTTACCAATACCACACTAAAACAAGATTACCAACATTAATACACCGATGTGCGTGAGATCCATGTCACTCACTGAGTTATGTGCTTCTTTCCCCATACCAACGCAATATGTTGCTTATAAACATGTGATGAAAAGTTAAAAAGATAAAATACGACGACGGTGCGTCGGTTGATTGCTACTGCAGCACCACGTGGAGAACCAACACACTTGCTGATACTGAGAGATCGCAGACTGGCATGTAGTTAACAGCATTGGTCAACTTCTGCCTGTGCTTGACGCGCCGGACAGAGTTAATCTAATTTGCTAATTACCACTCTTTCGCCATTGATTGAATGATGCCCCCCACTGGTGTTCCTTCATCGTGATTTGTATGTTATGTGAACGAACGCAGATAAAACGTTTTAATCGATTGGGTCTTAGTAGAGATGCGTTTGACGAAGATTTTTTGGGATTTGACTTTATCTAGAAGTTGACTGGTATCTGCATTCATGTGGATTAGCACATAAAAGGTAAGGGTTCATGGGGCTATGGCCATGGAGCCTTTGTGGGAGTTTATAGATTTCATCGTTACTACCTATTATGTATAATACATACGGATAAAAAAATATAATTTTGTTAAACCCTAAACCCGGAAAAAACGTTCGTTTTAGCAATTCTGATTTTTTTTAAATATGAGAGTGCGCCTCCATTGAATGTTCCGTAATTTTGCTTCCACATGTACCATTGAAGGTAGGGGAATTTGGGGTAATACCACCTAAGGAAATGGTCAATTTGAAACACCCATCGTTTCTCGGGGGGCGGGGTTTCGACCATATTTTTCGGAATTATGCAATCATTAGATGATATAATGATATGCTGTACTTGTATATAACGAGAAGAGGGTTTAAAGTATGTGTTTGACTCATAAAACCTGTAAATTTTGCTTTCAGAGCGTATGATTCTGGCAATAAGCGATCTTATGATTCGTGAGTGTTCACTCAGAGTGAGCACTCACGAGTCGTAAAATTGCTGATTGTGACGCACTGAAAGCAATATTGACAGATTTTATGTGTCAAATACATACTTCACGTTTTCTTGTAACTTACAAGTACCGTAAAACGGGGTAAGATTGATAATTTTTAAAAGTATATTCTACATATTGTTTGCAGCAATGAATATTTTTAAATTTTATATTTTTCAAAACAAGTAGGGGAAATGTAGGTAATGTCGGCCTACATGTCCCTAATTTGGGCCCATCGCTAAAAGTCTGCTATTTATCAATTTTATCTAGATGAACGCGTTATTGGGACGTTACTAATGGATATTTGTGGTTGCTATTGAAAACTTAGTTGATTGCTGAATTTATGTATGGGCCCAAATTAGGGACACTTAGGCCGACATTACCTGCATTTCCCCTACAAGAGTTAATTCGTTAGTAATTTGTTTAACGGAAATTAAAGCATTTGCACTATTTTTTTAGTTTTGTGACCGAAGATCAGTATTTTGATTTGGGGTTACTTTGATAATGCTCGATGAATGTAGAAAAAAATGCGTGAAACTCAAACATTTTAGTTCTTTAAATATGAAACTTTGAATGAGTATATAATCAGAAAACATCATAGGCAATAAGAATACAACATTGAATTTGTGATGGCTATATCGGAAATACATTTCATAAGTGATGGTTTGAGTGCTTTTTCAAACAGGCGAAAAATACGAAAATTGTTTTTTTTTTAATATGTGTGTAAAATATGTAATACATACTATATAAAAACTATACACGATATCAACGGAAATACCCTAAGCTACAATATGGAACCAATATTTCTAATTTAGAAAAAGCGCAGCGAGTAAATTTAATCTTTATATAATAGTATCAAAGTTACCCGCATTATCAAAGATACCCCGTGTTACGGTACTAATTATCACTATACCATCTCATGATTTCATAATTCTGAAAAACATTTTTTTATAGCAAGTGAGTGGAAGTAACCCTGCCTACCGTGTGGTCGAGTTAACAGTAATCATAACAAAAATGAGATCTAAATGGTATATGAAGGATATTAAAAAGATAACGGATCATGCGTTAGGATATCAGTAATTTCGTTAATAATAATCAAAATAAGTAAACAATATGTTATTGGTAGAAAAACAAAAAAACAAAATCACATATTATTTTGATATCATGATTTCAAATTTAGTAATCTGAATGTTTTGAAATCTATTGGTGGATGCCAAGAATCAAAATTGAAAATTTTTATCAATAAGCTTTCATCTGTTCAAAATAAAACCAAACCTATTTTTCAATCAGTTCTATCGATATCTATCAGTTATATTGATTTCTAACAGTTATATCGATTTTTAAATTCAATTCGCAAGTAGATTAATATCAATATTTTTTTGTAAAATATAACTGTAAAAATCATAATTGTTTCATAAAGAAAACAGCAAGCATCCTGATTGACTCGTAAGAAAATAAATAAAAATAAATTAGATTTCAGTGATAAATGTGGATGCTCATTTTATAAAATATCAAATTTTGTTTAAAATTAAATTTTTTAGAGATATAAAAATAATATCAAATTATTAATTCAACCGAAATTAAAAAATAAAATATCAACATCAAAAACATAATTTGATATAATTTTGAAAGTATTTTGATATCCGACTTTGCTCGAGTAGTTCTATATTGGCACTACTCACATGCAAAAAATCAGACCGACTGGTTGAAACCCCGCCGAGAAAAAGCGGTGGGTGCAACTCAGTGGGTAACGCGTTCTTCGGGGGATAGCTGTTCGTTGCATACATATAAAAACAGGGTATCACAGAGAACATGCAACAATATAGACAAAACGCTTGCGACAATTGTCATGACAAACTCTCTCTCTCTCTCTCTCTCTCTCTGCAACATTACTTGATCGGAACGGTGGAAATAACAAGAAAAAAAAATGATCTTAAATTCAAGAAAACAACATATCAAGAAGACTGGCAGCCAGAGCTGGTAAATATCTCGGCAGTTATACGAGATTGAGAAAACAGGTCCTCCCTCTATCACGAGACGAAACTATCCATCATGAGCTTTCTTGTCATTCCCCAATGATCAAGCACTCATGAGCAGTGCTGAGATTTGTCATTCTCACTGACAGACTTTCACGCGATATTGACTCAATTGTTCGTCACATAGTCACTGACAGACTTTATCCTCAAAAAAACCTTCGTCAAAATCTCATTCATTTTTTCGTCAATGACAAAGCTTCACCTGGTAACAAAAAGTGTAATTTAGTACATTCTGTGTCACATTATTGTTTTCCAAGTAGCTCAGGACGTAGATACTTGTTCACTAAAATGGATCCATGTAATATCACCGTGTACTGTCGAGATTTTGCAGCACTGCTCATGAGAACAATTCTCTTACGGTTTTGACTTCAAAATTTCTATCTGTTTTAGATGAATTTAGGCAATCAATAGTACACACTTAGTTTTTTCTACCGAACTCGGCTGTGCAAATCTCGGCAAAAATAGTTTTACTGAGATCTCAGCATACATTTAATTTGTTTGCTGAGATTCAGCTAAGCATTATCCGAGGCTAAGCAATCAAATGTCTTTTTTGCTGAGATCTCAGTGAAACTTTTTTTGCCGAGATTTGCACAGCCGAGCTCGGTAGAAAAAACTAAGTGTGTATGTAATTTGTAGAGTGAATAATGAATATAATATAATATATATACATAATCGGTAGAGTGAACATATTTTTAAGTTTTCCGCGATACAAGTAATAATAATATCAATAAATGAGCTAGTAATTGCGATGTTTATAAAACTGTCACGTTCTGTCATGACAAAAAAAAACGATGACATTTTGAAAAAAAAATCTCTATTGTCGTTTTCCATTCTTATCCAGTGATAGTGACAGAAGTGTCTCTGTAGAAATTTAAAGGACAAATACTATAGCGCAGTGCTTGAGCAAAGCTTTAACCATTGGATAGGAAAATGAGTAAGTACACAAACCTCACTGTTGAGGTTGGCATTTTTGCTATCAAATTCTCTCGGAGCTTTAACTTTTTTTATCTTCAAGGACGATCATACCATAGAGGTAACTCTAAGACTAGAAGGTCCCAAAATAACGTGCTCAACTTTTTGGCTCAGCTCTGGTCCTATCTTCGGTCCCAAGCTAATCGATTCACCCCTCGAAATCCAAAACAAACATTGTGTGGTAGTAGAATTTCGACTAGAATGGGGTACGTTAATCGTTTGCTTGGGACCAATAGGCTAGTCAAGTAGTGAGCCAATCTAAAATCGTTAGTTTCGTATTGATTGTTGATCATACTGACTTAAAAATGAGTCAAGTAGACTCAATTTAATTAAAATTGGATTTTCCAAGGGGTAGGTCACTCCGCACACCAATCTTGGGTCATTATTTTTGTCAGTGTGCCGCAGGTGTGCCAATTATGCTGGTCATAGAGCAAGCTGCGATTGTTTGTGAAATATCCATTCCAGCAACCCGGTATTTGAATGTTTTGGTTTGACATCGCAAGGATAAATCGGATTGAGGATGACGCGCAATGTGGCGGGGGTGCAACATTTTGGTGTTTCGTGTTCATAAGATAATAAAAATCCTGTATTTTAGGGTGTTTTATAATGCCCTCGAAGGCAGACCGGAAACCTACCTTTTTGTGCTGTGACAAGCAACGGTCTATCAGGGGCCGTGAAAAGTTGGAACCGG